AGCGAGCTGACGCCGATGAAATCGCTGCAGAACAGTTTATTGAAGAACTGACGAGAAAAATAGAACAAGAAAATATAGATGTAAATAATATATATAACATGGACGAATCGGGCTTATTATGGAAAAGCCTTCCACAAAAAACATTGGCTCACACATCTGAAAAACGAGTGGAAGGAAGCAAAGTGAAAAAAGATCGTGTGAGTATAGGATTTTGTGCCAATTCTACGGGCATCCATAAATTGCCCTTACTATTTATACATAAATATGCTTGTCCAAGAGGATTAAAACATGTTAAGGATAAGTTACCTGTCATATATAAAAATCAAAAAAATGCATGGATGAATGAAGAAATTTTTAATAATTGGTATGAAAATCATTTCCAACCGACCGTCAGGCAGCGACAATTACAAGATAATAATATAGGCGAAGTTCTCCTTTTAGTTGACAATTTTAAAGGCCATAATGTTCGTGACAGAAAAAGCGAACATTTTGAAGTAATGTTTTTGCCTCCTAATACGACTTCCATTCTGCAACCGATGGATCAGGAATTAATTGCAAAATGCAAAAAATCTTTCCGATACAACTTACTTCAAAAGGCAAGTAATGAATATTATTCACATCTGTTATATGTTTACATCTTCTCATTGAGCTCATTGCAATCATCTTTCTATTGTTTTATTAATCTATCGTTTGAATTTCATAGGTACTTCAATGTCCAAAAGGAATCCAAGAGTTTTATTTTAAACACGACATTAAAGATTGCATTGATTTAATTGACAATGCTTGGAAATCAGTATCAAAGACAAATATTTACAACGCGTGGCGAAAACTCCTTAAGCGACAAACACAAACAGAAGAAATAGAAGTGATAGAACAAATTGAAAATTATTCTTTTACCGAAGTAGACAATTGGATTTCTCATTGCGAAGAAGCTGAATTGATTCGTGAAAACGATAAAGAAACAGAAGAAACAACATCACGACAAAATTGCGAAATTGAAGAAAATGAATTAGAAGTAGACTTATTTGATAAATTAAGTTTATGGGCTGAAACACAGCCAGAATTTGTTCAGTTTCATGTTAAAGTTTTACTAGATTATTACTATCAAAAATAATATTATGTAACTTTTGCATATATAAACTTTTTTACTTCCATTTTTTAACTTTTTTTTATTTTTGTTAATTTTTCATTTTATTCACATTAATAAATAGTGTATTAATTATTAATATAATGAATAGAGTATATCATTTTGCACTTCTTTTCTAATTCTTCTTCATGTAAGAAAACTCCTTCAATATGCGCTTGTTCGGCATCATTTTTATTGGAAAAAACATCGGCAATATAATTAAAATAATTTTATAATTATAAATTAAAAAATATAACATTTTTATTTTTATGATTTTGGTGACTTATTTGTTATTACTGATCACGAGTTACTATAAATAACGCGGCCGCTCGCTTTGTTAGTTCTAAGAATTGAGGAGGGGGAACTCCCGGCTCGCTGCTTCGAGGCACTTCTAGGAATTGGTGGGGATAACTCGAGGCAAATACTTGAGGCAAAAACGTGGCAAATACGCGAGGCACTACTGTAAATACAATTAAATAATTCTATATTCTTACACACAAGTATGACATCGACAAGTATCATCGGCGTTATGTTAAATACACAATGTAAACATGGATCGGTTAAATTGTATACTTCGTGCATTTTGTGTGTATACATATGTATATATATGTATAAACATAATAGATTATATGCGACAAATCGTCTTTA